CAAGAACCCCTCAGTCTTGGGGCTCTTTACAAGATTAAGTGATGTATTCATATAGGCAATGTCTCAGGAGAATTTTCAGTACCTGGAAGATAGAAAGCTCATTTCAGTTGAAGGGCAGCAGGCTTTGTAATTGGTCTTTCCCATTTCCCTCCCACTAAGGTTTTTTAGGCGGAGGGTTTTTTTTGAACCTTTGTGAAAGTACTGCAAGAACAGCCATCTTTGCAATCAATGTTAGTCCTCATCCTTCTCTTGAATATGATGACTGCCTGCTAATACTTCACATGCATCTTCTGGAGGGACAGAGCCCAAAGTGGGACAAAAAAGCTATGCATTACTCTATTGCCTTTGTGGAAAGAGAAAGAAAGAATGATCATAGTCCTAACCGAGCACAAGAGGTATAGGTTTAATTTGACACTCTGACAAAGATTTTTTTGGAGGTTTTCAGCAAATACTTTCCTACTTTGGTGGGAGTTATGCAGGTGAATGACACCAAAACTGTTAGGTACCTGAGCTAGCAGCTGCAGGTAGCTGGGTGCTCACAAAAACCAGAGGAACTGTGCGATAGGAGTGGGGCTGGGTGGCAGCACTAACTACGCAGCATCAGGGCCATCTGCATGCAGACCCACAGTGCCAAGAGCTGATCCTCTCATCTGCACTGCTCTAATGACGAGGGTACTAGCAGGCCAGAGAGCCTTTTGCTGGGTGGAAGATGCTGATATGAAGAGACACGTCCCTGCAGGGACCCTCAGCTCCCCACCGGTTTGGTGGCCTCAGGATGTCCCAGTCATTTTCCTGACAGCTCCTGCTGTGACCCCACTCTGCCTGGTTTCTGTTGAGCAATGTTTCTCTCTGGAGGTTTTGCTCTGTCCTCAGTTGTATGTGTTCACCTCCAGAGCCCGTGGGCACTGTCCAGTGCTACCCTGGTGTCCTTGTTTTCTGCTGGGTCATCTCTGCAGAAGATGTGAATGGTTCTGGTGATGATGTGGCAATCTTTGTTTTCCACCCTTCACCCAGATGGTGTAAGCACACAGAGTTAATTGGATTTTTAAAGAAAAAAGGACTGAAAACTATGCTTGTGTCTGAAGAGTTCAGAAGCTGTAACTCCTCCATGTGAAAACACTTTTTCTGTAGAATTGCGTCTCTGAGTCTGTTCTGACAGACTCAGACTCTTCTCTGATTGAAGTGTTTTTCAGGTGTTTATGAGCTAGAAAAGCAAGATAAATCACTTATACTACAGTACTGTCAATTGGGTTTCATTCCTCCGATGCCCAAAAGAGAAAGACATGCAGTAGTATCTACAATTTATTGTAAACATTCATTTTTGTTATAATGATTTCATTGTCCAGAATTTACCATCCCTCCTTTCTTCAGCAACTTACTGGCCTGTATTCACAAAGGAGGGTATGAAAAGGATGTAATATCAGAGTCCAGTGGGAAGAGGACTACTGCCCTACTTCTCAGCAAGACTTTCAACTGGCACTGCCACAGCAAGATCTTTTGTCATCTTCAAGATGAGACTCAGGGTGCTTCAGCTGATTTATAACAAGTCATGGATATATGATGTGAGCTTAATTCATAATGGGATTGAGCTGAAAGCACTAATGCTGTTTTACTGCAGATTTGACATTAACATTCACACTGTGTCTGATGGATAGTGCAGAAGAACCAAAGTGGTTTTCTAGTGGGTCTGGTAACAACCCATCTGTCTCAGCTTGATGAAAATAGGGTTGCACTCTGCTAATCTAGGCACAAGAAAATCCATCCATGAACGGATATGTGAAAATTAAAAAAAAACCCCAAAGCCAAACCCACCCACATCAAAAAGCCCCCCATGATTTTGTCTATGTACAATAAATAAATAAGTATATAAATAAACAAAAAATGAAGAGGGAACACTGCTCTCGGGAGGGCAGGAAAACAGAATTCTGCAACAGCTGCATAGCAATTTTGCAAGACATTTTCTCTTGCACCAAATGAAGGGTACTCGTTTACTTCAAAGAGATGTAAGGCTGCTTTCACAGAAAGGAAGGAATTTGGAGTGACTGGGTATAATACATTCTAAAGATGCAAAATATTAGAATACAGAATGAATTCTAGAAGCCCCAATTTCTGCCCAGATTTTGGAAGCCAAGCTACAACTGGCTTTCAACCATGAGTACAGAGCTGTAAAAAGTGCTATATTATGGGCACTGAAAGACTGCACATAAACTGAATTTCACTGTTGCTCCTACCTGCCAGCATTTTAGGATTTATGTCCCACCATGCAGAATATTTGCTTCACCTTTGCTTTATGGCAGTGAAGAGTGGCTCATAGGCTTTAAATTATGACAGAATTAGAATGTCTTCCATGGTATTAAGTCCTTAAATATACCCTTAAAAAATTGAGTTTTGTACTGCGATGCTTATGAAGGCTGGATTTAGGCATCCATATCTCCTTTCTCCCCAAAATGTGTCCTTCTTTTCTGTATTGAGAGCTTTACTGGGCAGATTTTCATCAGTGCTACAACATATCTGGATTTCTGACATCCCTGCCAGAGCTGAGGCTTTGCAGCTGTAGAGAAAGCCAAGCAAGTAAGTTACTTGTAGTAAAGCAAGTAGTTGGCTGCAAAGAGCAGCAAGAACAATATAAGTAATGGCACCCAAGAGGCAAACGCAGGAGTCAAGAAGTGCCATGGGCTATGCAAGCCAAAGGGTGAAACCCAGTTTGAGAATTTGAGAATAGGCTGAGAAGAGTGGCCACCAGATGAGGGGGAGGACTAAGAAATAGGCTTAACGATTGATGTGGTCATGAGAAAGCTCTGGGAGGAGGACATGGAGGGTGTGAGGAAGTTCATGTTGGGGAGGTCACATTTCTACTACTGCCTCCTGCCCCATCAGAACCAGAAAACCATGATGCTAGTAAGATATGGAGATGCCCATCCCAGAAAACTGGGATCGCAGAAAGTTGCTGTCACACTCATTCTGCCAGAAATAAACTGGTCCTTTGGCAAGGAACATGGCCAACAGTGCCAATCAGTGCATTCTTCATTTCAGTAGATATTTCAAGAACAAAAGGTGCCACCTAGTAAGAAGTAAGTATTCTGGAACAAGTGAATACCCAAGGAATATTCTTCCCCCTAGAACCGGTTGTGATCAGGCAACAAAAGCAGCATTATATTAGGCCTCTACCACAATGTTCAAAGACCTCAGGAAGTTTAAGTTAGAGGAACTGTTTTTATTGGGGTTTTATTGCTTTTGCTTCTTTTCAGGTCAGCAGCAGAATATTTGCCAGAGGAGCTGGAGAAGCCAGTTGCAGTCCACAAAAGTGCCAAAGATTTATTTATGGCCATCATTTAGGGAAAGGGCAGCAATTGCTGGTTCTGAATATTTAACATTGCAGGGAAAAGACAAGCCACTCCGAAGCCTGCATGTTCCAGTAAAGCACTGCAAACCAGCATGCCCTCCTGGTCCCCTAAATGGAGAGCTGGGAGAGCTGTGAAGGTATGCCTCAGAACACTCTTACAGGGACTGAGACTTCTGCTTCAGATCTCAGCTTGTGTGGTCATGATCAGCAAGAGACTCTAGTTCCTCTATGAGTATGGAAGCCCAGGTAAGGAGGAGAGGTGCATCTGCAACTCGGAAGGCATTACCTGCATAGCATTCATCTCAGGAAAATTGCAATTGGTTTTACTTCATGCATCATTTATTGTAATTCCCAGGAGAGCAGCAGGTGGGAGAGATTAGTATCAGCAGCTTTGCCTACCTAAAGCTAGCTACAGCAAGATGCCTTTTGAAATACAGAGACTGCTCTTAGCTCGCTTTCCCCCACTTCCTCGATTTGTCAAGGGATTTAAGTGATAACCCTCAGCTACTCTCTAGCTACTAACTGGCCCAACCCACCAGCTGGTTCTTGAAAAAACTTTCAAGAGCAGCCAGACCACAGCCGCACAGAGGCAGAAGGGAAAACAGGAAAAGCCAATTTCCCATGCTTTCTGTGTCACACTCCCTGTAGAGCCCTGCCCTTCAACACATCACTGTGGTGGGATTTCACTGCTGTTGTTGGCTATGAAGGAAACATGATTGACTGCAGATGGGACTGAGTGTCAGGAGATGGCTAACACCTGCCTCAGACTCTCCCCAAGGAGCCAGCCAAAGGCTGGCTTTCTCTTAGAGAAACCCATGTCTTCCTGTGACCATCACCATGTGGGAAACATCCTTAGTAGAAGAAAAAGGTCCAAATGTGTGTGTGTGGGGGGTTAGTAGTGTGTTGTTGGGTTGTTTTTTTTTAAAAGGAGAGCATTTCAAATTTCATAGACAATTTGCTAACAGATATTCCAGCTGCATTAGTTTAAGTCAACATTTAGCAGCACACACTGTGGATCTAAAGGGCACAGCATTCAATATCAATGATCAGTATACAACTTAAGACTGTCTTGATACTTTATTTTCTGTAAGTCTCTTTTGAATGCTAAGGAAATAGCAACTAAAAAAGTGAATGCTCTAATGGTTGGCTATGGCTATATCCATCCTGGAGCTAGACCATCTAGCAAGCCTCTCACTGCCCACTGTAACACAAAAGTGAGATTTAACCATTCTCACAGTGACCACCCACTAGCTGTCATCCCTGATTTTATGCAGGGTGAGGCTTCCCAGGTCCCAGCTCAGAGGAGGTGGTGACTTTTTCTTCTGAAACTTTCATTGTTTGTGTGGTGAAGTTTGTTTTCTCAGATGCTGAAGGGAGCTCTGAAACTGCAGGCTCCCTGGGACTTGGTTGTGACCACAGTGAAAGACTTTAATCACTATTGCTAGTATGGAAACCTGAGTCCTCTTGTCCCTTAGTAAAATGCTTTACCTTTTACCAAGCACAAGGTCTCTTTAATATCAGGCAATTAGGCAGACAATGAAGGAAACACATTTGCATAGAATGCTCAGACCAAAGTTGTCTGAGTCACACTGGGTTCCCTTTCCAGGAGAAAGTGTTTCCAGTGATGTTCGAGAGTGACAATAAATTGATTAGCCTCTTCAAAATTTCTCATAAAATTGTATTAACAAAACAGTAAATACATGACACAGAGACTGTAACCACAGGATGTTTACATGATGCCCACTGTGGACAAGTACTAAATACCATAAAAGACCTGAGACCCCCCCGAAAAGTCTGCAAGTTCTGGCTCTTCCAAGGCGGCTAGAGCACCACTGTTATTCCTTCTCCTCTTCCTCTTCCCTCTCACATTTCAGCTTCGGTGTTGTGAACTTTGCTGGTGGTTATTGCAATTCCTATTGCTAGGCTTCCGTTGTCAGAAAAAAGTTGAGCCAGGGAAGTGTTTAGCACAAGACAATCCCCATCTGAGATGACAGAGTCAACACACTCCAGTACTGACCTGGGGGTCGCCTCCCACTTGAGGCGCCTCTGGTTCCTGTTGAGCTCAAGCCGGTAGGTGAAGTTGTCGGCTTGGGTTGGTGTGCCGATCAGCATCATCGTGGCAAAGAACTGAGGGTGGCCTTCATACTTCTCCTGCTTCCTGAGAACCAGCAAAAACTGGTGGCCAAGGCAAGAGTGCATGATGATCCAGTCTGTGGGTGCAGGCAGGTGCATGTCCGTGGCCAGGAAGACAATCTCTGCCCCCTGAAGGATGTTTATATGATGGGTCTGCCTCAGGTGGGACACCACCACTTCCAGGTGCCCTTCCCATGGGCAGGAAAAGAGTGGGCAAGTGCAGGGAACCAGCTGGGGGTCATGCACTGCTTCATGGTGGTGGCAGGGAGGAAGGATGCCTTGATCTGTAGATGTCTGTGCAGCTGCACAGCGAGTCGGTGCATACTGCAAGAAAGGAGAAATTACATATGATAGCAGGTGACTGGGAACCAGTGCAGATATGCAAGGGGAAGACAGTGCAGACATCTGTTATCTCATACCCCTCAGAAAACAGCATTGATGGGAACACCAGAACCTCAGCTCTCTGGACATTGGGGCAACCCAGATCTGGATCTGCACAGCAACTGTGCTGGCAGTTGCCTTGCTCTCCAGGAGAAGAGAGAAATCGTTTCAGCCATGATAAGTTACTTCACATGAAAATGATGTATGTGCTTAAAGAGTGATTTCATTAGTTTGGGGGGAAATCTGATTAAAAGGAAAAAAAGCCCAACAAAGCAAGGACAGCATGGGGCATTTTATATAGTTACGGCTCTCGCAGCTCAGAACAAGGAAATGAAATATGCACAGCTTTATTATTCTTTAATGAAACACACTGGCAAATACAGGCATTTCTCCTAAAACAATATGCTTTATAACACCCATAATTTTAGAAATAAAAGTCAGTTTTTATTGTATAAGATGCCTTAATTTTATTTTTTTTTTTTGGTCAATGTATTTGGGCTTACTTGATGCACTTACCTCCATAAATCTTCAATGGCTCTCAAAGGCGTAGGGATGGCAAATTTAGGGCATTTTTATATTGAAGTAAATTTGGATTAAGGTAGGGCACCTAGCTAAGAAGGCAGCAGTTCTTGCAGAAAGATTCTACATAAGAACCAGGAAGCAAACTGGTCTGCCCCTATCAAGCAGATATTTAGATGAGAAATGAGTAAGTCTTATTCCACCAAAAGTGTATCCTCATGCAATGCTATTCAGGAAGAGAAATGGCTCTCCACAATAACACTGTGCATCGACAAACCCTAAGGCACAGGCATGCCAGTCTATGATTCATCCTACCGAATTTTAAGCATTTACTTCAGTCATGAGAGACAGAAACGTAGTTATTGTGGACTGCCTCTGCTGCCAATAGAGGTAGGCAGACCTTCCTATTTGTGAATTCAGATCTTAGCTGGAGTAGTCCACCTCCTAAAGGTAGCACTGGCTGCTGCCAGCATGGCTGGGATCCAATATGTCCATTTGTACCTAGATTTTAGGACATTATCTCTTCCTGAACTCCTTTGGAAATGTTTATAAAGGGTATAAGCATTAAGAGTACATACATGTGTAAGTATATTTTTCTTTAGCATATGTTTTAGGAATAGTCATGTAATACCCTGAATGTTGCCCCACATCTGCTCATTTTAACATATATACCCAAAATTGCAGGAACAACAGTATGGTTCAAACATCTAACAGTTTTTCTCCTCTATGCCACATCCATGTCATAGCAGATTTGGGCTTTTTTTCAGCTATTCTTGAGTAGAGACTTATTTTAACCAGAAGCAAGCATAATCACATATAATAGGTGCCAGATATGTTGCAGATAGTGTGTTGTCTCATCCATCTATGGATACCATGATGTCCTTCATTAAGCCTTGACATTAAACACTCTTACTATAAGCAGTTTTTCCCAGCAGAACTTGCACTTTGGCCTTCCAGGATGTTCTGGAAGGCAGTTTCTTGGGTCAACTGTCCTAATTCTCAGACGACTAGGGCTTCCTTGATGACTAGGATGACAAAGTCCTGGATCTTCATTTTCATTTTGTCATCTGCCAAGGAATGTGATGGGCAGAGCAGGGCTGTGATTGCTGCTGCTGTGAAATTGTTGGTTGTTCCCAAGGCACTGTCAAAGGGAGCTGTTTCTTTATCCTCTGACAATTGATATAAAGAATAATAGATTATTTAAGATCTGTTATTGAACCTTGCAGCTTTTTCTTTAGAGAATAATTCAGTACTACACTTCTATTTTTCCCTTCCTCGTATTTTTTGCTTTGCTGTATAAAATTCAGAAATATAAACTGTCCAAGAAGATAATGAATTGAGGACGGATAAATTACTATCATTGTCTGGGAAATAAAACAAGTCATTATAAACTAATCGAGGTTTGTGGCTTTTGCTGCCCGCTTATCACGGTGGAATTGCTGGTTCACACTTAATTCTACATTAATTTTTACATCTCATTAGGATGAAAGTTATGGCTAATTTAAACTCTTTTTGGTGAAGAAGGTGATTGCAATAGATGATCGTAAAAGCCTTTAAAAAAAATCCCTGAAATGCTAATTGCTTCATAAAACGAATTCTTATCTCCCAATCTAATACAGTGGGTGTGAGCAATTACTTTCTCTCACCAAACTGCTAATGCAACATTAGTGATTATACTAATTAAAACTAATGAACTCATACTCACATGCTGATAAACCTCTCAACCACTCAACAAGTTCCAGTCTTCTATCAGTTTTATTTAACTCCACTTTAGGAAGATGAATCTTAAATTAACCTCTTGAATAACATTCGAAATTAGGTTTTTGAAATGTGAAGCTTTATAGACTGTGTATAATTCTTCTCCAAAGATTACCAGAGTCAGAGAAAACATTTCCACTGAGGATGTAATTGAATTTAAAAATGCATTCTCCTAATTTGATAAGCATGGAGAGCAATGGTAGCTCATCCATCTAAACATTATCCAAGAAAATACAAGTATCTCCAAAAACCACTTTATGACAAGCACTTTTCTACGGCTTAGGAACTTGGAAAATATATTACAATGAGCAATTTATTCAATGTATTTTTCTTTCCTTAATTTTTTATTATTTTTTGTATGTGTGTATGCAAATAATTGAGAATTCCCTTTCATATCTCACTTTCTTGAAAAATTTCCATGAATCACTTCCACAAAGGATTTTTAGTCTGACTTTGTTCAGTTCAGTTTTATTGAAAATTCTGGAAATCCCGCAGAAACCACATGATCCCTTTTTATTCTCTGACTTGATAAGAATAATCTTCAAAATCTGTTTTCTGAATTATTCAACATTCCTATTTCTAAATGCTAGATTTTGTAATATTCTGAAAGAAAGTTTACAAAATCCTGATACCTGTGAAAAAAGTCTCAAAACCCCCTATTATTTTACTTCTAAGGTATGAGTGTAACTACTGAGGTTCTTGTGCCCTTGCTGCTGTTTCATATGGCTGTGAACTGAACCTCTAAAATTTAAATGCAAAAGGGGCATAAAATGGTCACCTTGAGTGCATTTCAAAGATTGAATAAATATTTATGAACATTTTTTTCCATGTTTAATCTGCTCCAGTATTTACTTTCCGTCATTTATTGCTCAAATACCTAATAAAATTAGGTTTATTGTATTGTGTCAGTCCAGTATTATTCTCAATTATCTTTTAGCCAATTTCAGTCAAATTTAACTGTGTGATAGAAGTCTCAAAGGCTTTAATTTTTAACCAGTTCCGTGAGAAGAGGCAGCAGGGTAAAGAAATATGACCCCTTTGTGTCTCCAGGAAGGAACAGCTTGCCACATGGGCAATATTGCATTGCCAGATAGGAGAGAACCTAAACAACAGCAGTTTCATCCCAAACGTGTTATCGACACCAGAGAACTCACATGAGACAGCATCTTTATGAACAGGAGAAAAGGCTTCAGCCACAGTGCTCATTAGACACAAGATAATCCCACCACAAGACTCCAAACCACAGGAAACCAGGCTCTGCCACTCACAGAAAAATGTCTTTTTAATGATGCAGCTTATTACAGTGTAATTCTCTTTAAGAAGAAGTCATTTGGCAAAGAGCAATTTATAAGCGCACAGTGCTTTTCTTATTAAAAACAAAGGTTATGTTTGGGCTGGGACACAGGGCTTCTGGATCCTGCTCCAGCCTTTCTACAGACTTTCTGCTGCAAATGCATCAAACTGCTCTAGGTGTGGCTCGTCTGTTCTAAGGTGACATCTGAGGAGTAGGCAGCTGACTCTGAAGCACAGCAGCTCCTTTTACAGCTCATGCAGGGCACCACAGTGCCCAAGAGATGCTGAAGGAACATTCCCCTGGACACTGCTCTCTACATGCAGCCAGGACCAAGCCCATGCTTGGGGCAGACCCACAGACGTTTTACTGGTTTCTAGACAAGGAGCAGAAAGGCACACACCGATTTTGGTCAGGAGACTGTTCTACAGCTATGGGCTTCTCCTGCTGCACTGGAGACAACACAGTCCGTGGAGGAAGAAATGGATGCCTGTTCACATGGGGCTCCTTGTCACTATTACACCTCCAGTCACAGTAAGTTCATAAAAAAACGACGGAAAGGGCAAAGTGTAGATCCAAGAAGTAGAGAGCTCAAAGATCACCCAGAGGTAGAGAAGACACAAACATATCTCTGCAGCTGCAAAGCTCCAGGCACCCATCCAGGAGAGAGGAATTTGGTATTGTTCCTCATGCTTTTGTATATTAACTAGCAAATACTTTAAGTCAATTATGGTAAAAATAGTGGAAACAGAAGCAGCAACCCACAGTGCACCTCTGCTAGCTGAGCTCCCAGCCCTGTGGGTGCAGGCATCTGCTACACTGTGATCCCTCAAGCCCTGCTTCTCTGCTGCACATTAGAGCAGCTTCAAATGGGAGAGCAAAGGGGGCTGCTGCCCGAGCAGCCAAATGCATTGGATTGGCTTGCATTCCCCATTTGCAGGTCAGGAATTTCTTGCTGCAAAGTGGGAATTTGCTCACTGCAAACCCCTCAGGGTGAGGGAGGGTTGAATCCAGTTCTCCCACTCCAGGGGAGAGGACCTTGACCTTGATGACCTGGACTAAAAGGAGGGAGAATAGCACTGTTGCATTGTGGAAAAATAAATGCTGTGCAGGTCTTCAGAATGAAGGTTAAATGCCCCCTTCCTCCACTTTCCAGTGTTTCCCAGTGTTATATTGGAAACCTTTTACTTACAGTAACATACAGAATGTGTAAAATACCAGGTTTTACATGCTTGTGAACAAGAACATCCCAAGGAGTGAGGACAAGGGCTGGTTCACTGCCCAGTCAATGAAGGTTTCTGATAGCAAAGCAGGTGCTGGGAATAATCACCCTTTTCCAGCCACTTCACACCTATGCAATTGCATTTTATCCAGT